GTGTGGGTTTATTTCTGGATCTTCTATGCGGTTCCATTGATCCTCCTTTCTGTTTTTATGCCAATACCATGCAGTTTTTATTACTATTGCTCTGTAGTACAACTTGAGATCGGGAATGGAGATACCTCCAGATGATCTGTTGTTGTACAGAATTGTTTTGGAGATTCTGGGTTTTTTGTTTCTCCATATGAAGCTGAGAATCTTTTTTTCAAGGTCTGTAAAGAATTGAGTTGGTATTTTGATGGGAATTGCATTGAATCTGTAGATTGCTTTTGGCAGGATGGCCATTTTCACAATGTTAATCCTACCAATCCATGAGCACGGGAGATCTTTCCATCTTCTGAGATCTTCAATTTCTTTCTTCAGAGACTTGAAGTTTTTCTCAAATGGGTCTTTCACTTGCTTGGTTAGTGTCACCCCAAGATACTTTATGTTATTAGTGGCTATTGTGAAGGGTGTTGTTTCCCTAATTTCTTTCTCGGCCCTTTTGTCTTTGGTATACAGGAGGGCTTCTGATTTTTTTTGAGTTGATTTTGTATCCTGCCACCTTGCTGAAAGTGTTTATCAGCTGGAGGAGTTCTCTGGTTGAATTCTTGGGGTCGCTCATATATACTATCATATCATCTGCGAATAGTGACACTTTGACCTCTTCCTTTCCGATTTGTATCCCCTTGATCTCCTTTAGTTGTCTTATTGCTCTGGCTAGGACTTCAAGTACTATGTTGAAGAGGTATGGAGAGAGTGGGCAGCCTTGTCTTGTCCCTGATTTCAGTGGGATTGATTTAAGTTTCACGCCATTGAGTTTGATGTTGGCTATAGGCTTGCTGTATATTGCCTTTACTATGTTTAGATATGAGAAGCACCACCTCTATAATAATGTTATGAGACTTTTATGACAATTACATGCAAAATCAACAAAAATGACACTAAAAGGTAAAGCTATAGGCTAATACAACTCATGAACATAGACAAAGATACCTGAACCCGTAGCAAGCCTAATGTAGCCAATTACTGAAGAGATAATATATCCAAGTTGGATCAAGTTTAAGAATGCAACTTTGATGTAGTATGAAAATACAATAAATAAAATTTACCATTTGTACTTTTGTAGAAAGAAAAAATATGATCATCACAGTAGAGTTAAAAAAAATTGATAGAGTTCAACACTGGTTCATGAGAAAAACTCTAATATGCTAGAAAAAGGAAGTGTTTTCATTAATCTGGTTAAGGATGCCTACATGAAAACTATAGTGAAAAGAATCTTTGATGGGCAATGTTGAAGTGTTCTGCAGTAATGGTAAGGACAGCTATTGTCTCTTCTTCCTCTCCCTCTTCCCTTTTCTCATCCTCTCCGTCCTCTTCCTCTTCTGTTCGTAAAGAGAGAGTTCTATGTAGCCCAAGCTTGCCTAACACTCCCAAATTTTCTATGTAGCTGAAGATGACCTTGAATTTCTCATTTTTCTGCCAGGTGCTAGGAGTACAGATATGAGCTACCACACTCAGCTGCTTCCAGAAACTACTACTGAAAACTCCCGGGGAGTACCAAGAAAGATGATGAGAAAAAAATGACACTTTTCACACACCCACCAAGTCATTGTCATGTCTCTGTATGCCACATTAGATTATAAACTCCCAATGAGGGACTAACTTCTATCATGTTTAGTATTCTTAAGGTCTGACATAGAGTAGGCACTCAATAAACATCTGTTGGATAAATTCATATTAAAATTACAATAGAAGAGATATTAAAAATATGCATTCCTTCTTAATTTTATAATGGCAGGGAAAGCATCTTTTTTTGGTTTTGGTTTTTGTTTTTTCCCCCCACACTGAGAGGGAGTTCATTTCTTTCCTGGAAGTGCTCAGTTCACACCCATGAAATAAAATAAAAATGAGCAACAGCAAATAAATCTAGTAATTACATTTTATTTTCCTGCAGCAACCATCCTACCAGGATCTAACCACACAACAGTGTTATTAACAACCATGCACCCATACTTTATGCTGGCACAGTG